CGTTTAAAAAGCAATGAAAAACAATCTACGAACACTTACCGTATCTTCAGTGACGGAATGCGCATAAGCAATTTTTAGCACAGTTCCTACGGCTTTCTTAACAAGCCCTAAAATTAAGCATGATTAGATAAGGATCAGGATTAGAACTGCTAGAATTCAAGAAAATTCAACGGATGAAATAGGAAAAAATGCAAAATGTAGTTTGGATAAGAGCATGAAATTACCTACCATTGCGATGACCACATTTTGGACATGGGTTGATTTTTTTACATGCTGCAACGATATTTTTATGTAGGGCTTTCCGTCTTAAGTAGTCCAAATTCGGATTAGAGATCATTCGCAGATACTGAGCACGCTGCTCATCTCGTAGAAGAAGACCAGAACAACTCTGTACGTAATACCTCCATTGCAACACAAATGCTATTAGAAAAAAATACGTTAACGCACCTTGCATATACACTGCAGCACCTGTATCGTTAATTTAAAAAATCCGACATGAAAAACGGGAAATTCAAGATCAATGTAGCCAAAATGGCCAACGCAATCAGCAAGAAGTCGACCGCAGGTCTTGCACTGACCGTGCTTTGATGCTGTTCCCTAAAACATCATCCACAAGGACAAAGCATACTACAAAAGAGAAAAATCAGTACGCCACTAACCAGGCGAGGATCAAGGGGTCCACACTGAGCAGGAATCCACTTGCCTGGCAGATCCTCATATAAGCGATTATTCAAAACTCGGATATGAGCAGCTTGGCGCATAAAATCACTGTTACCGGGAGTAAATTTGACGCCGACGCTAAGAGAAACATGAAATACTATCGACTACCAAAAGTAGCCACTAGTTGACAAGTATGAAATAATGGAACTTACACCTTTCGCGCCAGATCAGACTCCCGGAACTGCTCCTTTCCCATGACTACGTTGTTAAAGTTCAGTAATCAAAACATATTAGTGACCTAGTCGTCAATCAAAGCGCACTGTAATTAAATAATACTCAGAAGTGCTGTACTCATCAACAAAATGTTGTCAGCAATACGAACACAACCCGATATTAAGCTGAGGCCGACAGCAAATAAATCAGAGTTTCAAAAACATTCTCGTTAGAGGGATGATAGGAAGACGGTCGAGTGGCGCGACTTTTCCCGCCTGTCACTACATATATGCAAGCTAATAATATTGTAAAAAAACTAATTCTATAAGCTTTTGGGTTTTTCAAAAAACAAGGAAGGAGTTTAAACTATTATATATCTATATGTTAGTATATGAATAATACGAGAATTTGCGATTGATTTTTTCTGAAGTTACAGACAAGAACCTGCTCAGATCTGACTTATTTAAAATTTCCTGACAGCTTCATATACAAATGTTTCTATCTCATTATGGTTCTAACAAAATACACAGCTCTTACATATTTTACTGGAAGACAGTACTCAATTGCAACATGAAACCTCAAGTAATGTAACTTCCAATGCGTGACCTTAGTGACAACCGAAAACCGCGCTACTCGACATACACCTTCTTGTGCTTACCTGTCTATCCATTTACCTGAAGCAATGTTTATGTAGTTTTGGAAGAATAAAGGAGTTTGAAATTTATTTAACTAGCATTTCAGAGAAGCCAGGTCCTATTCTGGCAA